GGCGCGGGCCTTCCGATTCCAGCCTGCCACGACGCGAGGGGAAGGGCTGCGCGCCGGGCGAAACGAAAGTGGCGCTGCGTCTGTTACCAATACCGCTACCGCTGCCGCTACCCAGGCCGCCGGCGCGACCGCCTCGTTGCCTCACGACAGCTGCCAGTGCTTCCTCTGCCGACACCAACACGACGTTTCGGGCCCAGATATTGCTGCTCTTGCCACCATCTCTCAAGAAGAGCTAGTCTGTTCTATCATTTCCATCTGTCATTCCTGGTGGGGCGTTGTTTCGTCACTGTTGGGACTTACAGTCTCATGAAAGTGGTAACTGTTTCTGTTAAGAAAGCGACTGACAATAATATAGAATATACAAAGGGCAAAGTCTTCATATTATTTGATAAATCTCTCGTAGTCACCGAATGAGAGGGTTAGCGATTTTTTTTATATGACGTCGTAGAGACCACTGCCACCTCTGCAATGAGTTTAGGACGAAACAAAGACTTTTCATTCTAACACATTAAATGTCGACAACTACCACTAATGGAAAGTAGTTGTAACTACTGCAAGAGCCAATTGAACTGGAATTAACGAGAGTTTCTGAACCACACCGAAGTAGTAACTATCTTCTTTAAAATCTTAACTGTGTCCGCAGCGGATTATAGCAACTGACTCCCCCTCTGCAACAATCTCTGCCCCCAAAGATTTGCACAATATATCATCTAAAAATATCCACTCAGGTTTCTCAGAATTACGTGACATAGACATAGAGCATCTTAACACAAGCTAGTGCCAGATAATGCAACCTTGTTTTCAAAAGCGCTGCTAGCTCAGAGAGGCGAAACGTTTCCGATTCTCTCCGGAACGAGTCGGTGCAAAGTACAGTTACTTCTGCTTCCCCGCCGCCGCTTTCCGCCGAACGACTTTCTCAGGCTGAACCAACAAATTAGAATAAACAGCCGTGTAACTCTAGTTCAGAGATTCCTACGTCGACTCTTATTTCTGCCAGTTGCGATTATTTTGATGTTTTCTGGTGCTTCTTGAACACATCTGCGTTCTGAAGTCGCTGCAACAAAGATATCAGTAGTGTACATGATTTCCTTCAACGTCATCATTTTCCAATACACAAAAATTGAAAATCTGTCCTTTTAAAATCAACGTAGATCTCACTTTTGATGATAGTGACGCCCAACATTCTGACGAGAATAGTAATTTTGTAGCCAATATCCCTTAAGTCAAAAACTCTCTTCTTATATTTCCGCTAACACCTGAACCGGAAGCGATTCGACCGCAACTGCTGCACCAGTGTGTTAATTTCCGTTCGTATCGCGGCCATTGCACCCAGTCGCACAGTATGCTGCTCGCTCTCGTCTCGGCGCTTTTCCACCGGGCGCTGGGGCCGCCTGGCCACGCCCCTTCCGCCGTTTCCGCCCGGTCTTTCGTCGTCGCTCGCGCGGCATTCGCCCTGCTCACCGCGTGCGTCGCTCTCGCCCAGAGCTCGGCGCCTCCCGCGCTGCGCCCGCCGCCCGCCCCGTCCCCCGCGGAGGCGGCCGCGACGCAGGCGACCCTGGTGGCGGAGCGCTGCCTCTTGCGCGGAGGCCGCGTGCGGCTCGTGGCAGCGGCCGCCGCCGCTCTGCTCGCGCCCCTGCACCGCCGCGCGCTCCGGGCGCTGGTCGCACGCCGCGGGGAGGCCGCTGGTTCGAGGCCCCTCGCCGACGCGGCGGTGCTGCTGGCGGGCGGGCACTGCGGTCGCGCGGCGCCACCTCTCCACGCAGGCTGGCATCCCCGGTCCCCAGCGGTGCTGGCCTACCTCGGGTCGGTCGGCGACGCCGAAAGCGAGCTGAGAAGGATGTATTCGGAACACCGGGCTATAAACATGGCGGCGGTAACTGGCTCGAAGGTCGTGTCGTGCAATCCGTACTCCAAGATGTGTACGGTGAGCCATATCAACGATTCCGATGTGTGCGAGAAGGCTTTCCCGGACAAAACGAAGAATTTGCATGGGGCGGAGGTCGTTGTTTCCTTGTTTGAGGAAGTGCCGCACTGTTTACCTTCCCGCAAATTCCCGGGCCAGTTTAGGGGAGCCGACCCGTCCATGGTGAATACATTCATGGAGCATATCAATGCTGTTCCCAAAATTATTATTGCTCAAGGTAATTTGCGTGAAAGTTGATATAAGACTGAAAATGTTTTTTTATTTATTTTCATCGATAACACAAATTTGTTGTACAATTACATTAATTTGTTATTTCTGTTTTTACAATGATCAAGATTTTGAGAGAAAAAGTTATCATTGTATATGTTTAGTAGTTGTGCAAGTATTTGACATCTCTGAACTTCTTTGTCATTTTATTTTAAATATTAATTAATGTAAATCACGTAGAAAAAGAAATCATTAATTTATGCTTTGAATTAATTTTCAAAGTTATTGCTGAAGAAATCATTTTAATTATTTAAGAGGAAGGGAGTTTGAGCCATGGAATACACTGAGGAAATACGCCAAAATACAAAAAATCTTATACAATAATTGAAGCTTTGAAAAGCCAAGAGAGTAAAGGGTGAGACATGATATTTTTGGCAAATAATGATTACTGTTTGAATTCGTATTCATGTCATACAACCAGAGCAATCTGTATATAAATATTACGATTACTTGGAAGGAGTTTGGAACATTACTCTTTTAACCATGTATTTGCGCCGATTTATATACTATTTATTTTACAAAAACCTTAGTTTTGAAAATTTTGGTACTTAGTTGCTTTGTCTTTACAAGGCCTCGAGTATTAGGTAAGTGTTATACTTACCAGCGTACTAGCCTGTATAAGTGTCGTATCTACCGAACAATTTTAATTTCTCAAATAGCTTGTATCTGAAAACTTGATTACGATGAAAATAAATTCGCTAGAAGAGTGAACATCTGAAAGGAAATATTATGAAGCAAATGTTAATCTAAGTCTTCGGGTGAGAAGATAAAAAAAAGAACAATATCTGGCGAAAACTCTGACCTTTATGCTAAATTGAATTGCTTTCCGAAAATTTTACAATGAAAATATAATATTACTGTATAAATTCTAGAAAATAATGAGTACTTTATACTAGACAATACTAAGCAAAAAGGTTTAAAATATAAATAATATGGCTCTGTAAATTACTACCTCAAAAATAAGCCCACACTTTCAGAAAAAAACAACGATTTTTTTAAAGACGCAAAACTTCTGGCGAGATTCATAACTGACTACTTTTACCCCTACAATATTGATTAAACAGCTGATGATGAACATAGGAGCATTGTTTATACAAGTACCGTTCAGAGACCTGAAAGAAGGCATTGTCACTTCAGTGGGACATCGTGAGTCTCAATGTCAATACTTTCCTGTGGTGTTCAGTGGCAGCGCATCAATGTAGCCATTTTCCTTGTTTATGTGTTGCCTTAACGAGAACATCTAGACCGTCTAGTGGCAAAACCAGTTTTCTTCTTCCTTGTGCAAGTCCTTTTCCTTGTATTGACCTCATTGTAGAAAAATATATGTACAATCAAGGAAACTACATCAAACTCCGACGTCTTCTGTACCCCAAAGGTAGTTCTAGGCGATCGTCTGGGTGTATGTGGAAAGTTCATATTTTTTTATTGTCTTGTGCTTATTTATCATCGTAAAAGATACTCCAATTAAAATTACTGAAGGTTCAAGATGCGCAAAGTGAGTTCGTATGCCTCACCTGACATGGATGTTTTCGGTTTATACATGTGGATTAGAATGACCAATCACCACCATTTGAATAAAATAATTAACACTTGAAAGTCATTTAACACTTGAAACTTAAGGAAGCTATGAAATTTAAGGAAGAGACCCTTTTCTGTATTATTTAGTGCCAAACTGATACAACTTTAATCTGCAGGCTACGTCTAAAACGCACGTAAAATTTAACTTTATTAGAATCTTCTGTATATTCATTGACTTCATTCAAAAAGTTCATAAACAAAAACTGCGAAAAGCAACGTTTTTTGTTTAAAATGACCCATACTTGTTAGATTCTAGTTGTCATTTCCTTCAGCTTTTAAACATCGACTGAAATAATATCTTACGGAGTCGTAACATTATTGCCTCCTTACTAATACTATAATATTATGAATATAAAAAACTGAACACATGTATTAAAATGAATATGAAAATTAAGCACCCTTGAATAAAAAATAATTTTAAAATATAACGAACTAATGCAAAATATAAAACAAAAAACTATTTTGTGATTGAGAGCCTAGACTTTCTCAGTAGGAGTCAGTAACTTCTCGGATGCCCGGGAGACGCCGCACCTATGCTTACGAGGCAGCGTCTCTGGGACAGACAAGTAGTTTCATTTCTGTCTCTTATACAAGGGTTTTTTTTTTACTTTTGAACTTCTAAGGTCATATAGCGGCCGCAGCGAGTAACATTGGGGTAACGGTATACGGACACACAAACATCCACGCCCCGGGTGGGATTCGAGCCCGCGACCACTCAGGGACGAGGCAGCAAGGGCTCTTTGGCCTTAGCGACCTAGGGTAACCAGGCCGGCGCAAGGGGGATTGAAAGCTATATGCACGAGGCGTATACATCAATCCCTGTGCTGTATCCGCCCCCGACGCTGTTGCAGGCAACTACGGGCAGCGCCTGCCCAACGGCACGTTCACGGGGTCGAGCGGGGACGTGGCGCACGGGCGTGCAGAGCTGGCGTGCAACTCGCGCAACCTCAAAATGGACCGCCTCCACGTGCTCGAGTTCCTGTACCCGCACCACCAGAGCGACATGTTCATCTTCGTGCCCAACTCTCTGCCACTGCCGGCCTACACCACCATCCTGGTGACGCTGGAGCCGCTGACGTGGGCGGCGGTGGGCGGGACGCTGCCGCTGGCCGCCCTCGTCTGGCACGTGCTGCGGCGCGCGCGCCCCGGCGGCGCGGCGGGGCCCGGCGGCGGCGGCGGCAGCCGCGCGGCGCGGCGCTCCGCCCTGCACACCCTCCTCGACAGCCTCAAGGTCACCGCGCGGCGAGCCACAGCGGGCCTTTCTTGCGAGGTCCCCTTTCAAAGATCAGTTTGCTTCATCGACACTCGTACATTTTACCTCTAATGTTTAAAACACAACCATTACGTATGTAAATGATTGCTCATAAAAACTTAAAGATGATAATTAGACAAACAATATAAACTAAAACTGGGGAAAACGATTGAATAGATTTAGGTATTTTTTATCCCTATTATGATTTTAAAAAAAATGAAAATAGACAAATTTTCAGATATGAAATTACAGATTCTCAATTGACAGTGGATGTGTTTCCATTAATGTGAATGATTCAACATTTCAAAAGATGAGAGAATTAGTAATTTGTTTTCAGTCACGATGTCGAACCCCTTCCACGACAGCCTCAAGGTCACTGCGGAAGCGTCGGGTTTCATGGGGCGAGGCGATCTACAGCGGTGCTTTCCAACCTTTTCTTGCGTGGATTCTTTCAAAAGAACTATTTGCTTCATCGACACTTCTACATTTTACCTCTAATGATAAAATTTTGGCTAATTTACAAAATGTTTAACACAACATTAATTTACAACCTAAAAATTGCAAATTTACAACGTAGTCATTATTAAATTATTTGCTCATAAAAACGTGAAGATGATAATTAGACAAAGAATATGAACAAAAATTTTTGGGAATAATATTTTATTAAATTTATATATTTTTGTTCCTATTATCATTTGTTTTAAATTGAAAGAAGATAAATTTTCAGAAACGAAATTATAGATTCTCATATTGACTGTAGTTGTGTTTTCATGAAAGTGAAAGATTCCAAAAGGGGAGAGAATTTGAAATTTATTATCACTTAGTATTTATTATTACACTGACGATGTCGGACACTCGGATTTGTGCGAGGCTTTACGCAATAGTGGATAAAAAAACTCTAACTGTAAAATTTTCTTTTGGAAATTAGAATATGATATATAAACGGAAAGTTCTTTTGGAAATTATAATATTAGAAAGAAACAAAATATTAAGCTTCGTGTGGTCACCACCGTCCGTTACGTGAGCGCAAAGGCAAGTTGGAGGTCTATTGGTATTGTGGTGAATTTTCTTTGGCATTTCCAATGAAATAATTATATGAGTCGTCATTGCCATCAATATTATTTATTAAAATAGTAGCTTTCGATGACTTAGTCATCATCATCAGTTTCTAGTACACGAAGAAAAATAAAAAAAAAACCATTACAATATGATTTTTTTTATTTGACAACAAAATTATAAAAAAAAATTACTAATAATTTTCAATATTTAGAAAATATATTTAACATTTTAAGTACTGAAAGAAAGAAAGGGAGGGTGGGTGGGGGGTGATGATGATGGCTAAGCCATCGAAAGCTGCTACTTTATTATGTAATATTGTTAGCAATGATGACTCATATAATTATTTCTAGTTGGAGGTCGCCAGCGGCGCGTCTTCCGTGCCGAAGGGTCAACATAGACAGTTGACAGTAGCCCCTCACCAGCTGGAAAACACAGCATTAGTTCTCGGCGAACAAGATCGAATGCTAAATGTTGGTTCCCATGCGTTCCCACATCTTTTATAATTCAGTGCAAATCTTACCCTATTCGCGTTTTCACCTGGTAGGAAATAATTTAATAATAGGAGATCGTGGTATGTTATTTACATCCTTTAAATTACGATTTAATTGGAAATATGTAGGTGATTTATAATGTAATGGAATTATAATATAATGTAATGCAATGGGTCACCCCAATTACCTCCTTACTCGATATTTTAATAATGTTATTCCTAGGAAACACGCTTGCAACTTCTCTTGGATTCATTATTGGTGGTGATTTCCAAACCCCTAGACACTATTAAAAAGCCTACAAAAACGGATTAATTCTTCTATACCAAGACAAAATTACTTCAAATGTTAACTCTCTGCGTTTTGATTGTGTATTATCTTATTAATAATATAAGAAACGAATCATATACGACACTAGTATAAGTGATTTTTACATTATACATACAGTACCACACACAATTATAATGGCGTGTGACTGCAAATAAAAATTACGGTATTTGGTCTCCAGTGCCCCGGCAGCTTCTGGGAAATGTATTTTCTCCCTTCTATGGATGAGACCCCGAAGGCGACGACCCCTCTGCCCGAGGCGGCCTGGGGAATCCAAGGTCGCGCTCAGCGTTAGAAGCTCAAAGGGTCTGCGGCCTCCTCCAGCCCTTGCTCGTCACCGCCTGACGGCCAACGAAAAATCTCTCTCGACACTTGAAGCTTTTGCATGAAATTTTTCTTCTGTCAAAGCACTTCAAAATTTGTTTATCAATATGTGAAGAAAACAAAGACACTTGGGCCTGTGTAATTGTTTACTTAAACTTCGAATCTGCCTGAAGACTGATTTCGAAGATAGAAAGAGAATCGATCAATAATCGCATGGAACAGAAGACGCTAATGAAAAGGTGTTAAGTGACATTCACCTGAAGTAAAAACTTTAAGAAACATTCACGAGTTTACACATATCGGACGTTGCCTTTATGGTGGATGCGGACAGGTGCTAATCGCACGCGAATCCAATGCATTCAAAATATTTCCCAATTTGTCTCTAAAAAAGAACTAGCCACAAACAATTTTCGCCATAAGGAATCTGTGTGAAGATGAACAGATCAAATGAGACGTTTTGCCCTGTATTCCATGAACGAAAAACTTAAACAGAGAAGAATAATACATGCTATATAAAGAACTTGTAGGCGACGATATTTTTAAAATATTACAAAATGAATCACAGTGAATTGTGACTCCTTCTGACAGAACGTTATTTTTAATATTTAACATGATTATAGAAAATTGTTGCAAATAGCTCCTTCGTTTCAAAATTATATTTGATTGATGAATATTATTAAAAATGTTTGAATCGAAGCAATTACTACATCGTGTTGATTGACGTAGAAACATTTGTCATTATTTCCTCTGTCAAATTAAAATGGGGCCTGCAGAAACGTTGCCTACGTGCCGAGAGCCGTCAAATCCGTCGAAGAAATATATTCCGTGTTCACTGATACCTCCGTGATCAGACCAACCGCGCAGTCCCCCACGGACACGCACCGACTATTCAACAGCACGCATCGGGACAAAGTAATGCACGCTACGCCAACGCTTGCTACTTGTGAATGCAGTTGACGTCGCTTATTGCTATCGCTAAAGGACACAGATTATAAGATAACGTTAATCGACTGATAACAACAGATGAGAAAAGCTAAATGAAGATTATCCAATGTAAAAGGAAGCTACTTCTGTAGTTAACTACGGGAAAACCTCCTTTCATAATAAAAATACATTATTGCTCCATTCATACCTTCACTAAGAAGAAAAAAAGATTCAATGTAAAATCATATTACAATGTAATAAGAAACGAATATTTAAACTTCCCAATGGGTGTCATATTACATAACTTCCATGATATTCGAATCCGCGCACTGGGAGAGAGCTCCATGCAATAGCTGCGGTCTCTCTGACTGGGTGGTTCTAGCTTCGAGCCCCAACGGTGGCAGGATTATCCATACTAACGTGTCAGCTAGGTCGAATTCAGTCGCTGTCAGGGGGAGAATTCTAGCGGCTGGCTGCTGTGATCGGTATTTTTTTTTCGATCAACACCAAGCGAATGCTCGAGCACTATTCAAACAAACGGGCCACGGACCGCGCGCGATCTTGCCTTCCTCTTCCTTATCTTATCCTCACCTCACACACACACACACACACGCACTTACACTCACATGTACACTACCACACATGCCGGGAGACCTGCCAGAGATTAGAGCTTGTCGCGGGTGGGGGTGCCTTGCTGGTGGGAGATACATGGTTTGGGAAACCCCGCTAGCCGACGGTAGGTCGGCGCCAGATCTCGCCATACAGCGGGGGAAGACCACCGCCGCCTCCCGAACAAAACATGCACTACTCTTACGGGACTAATGACCCAAGACGTTGACGTTCCCTGAATCACTGACAATCAATCGCTGGACCGCAGGTGCTGCTGGGTGACGGGCTGGACTGGGAGCCGAGCGGGCGGCGCGAGCGCACCTTCTACACCAGCTTCCTGTGGTTCACGCTGCTCACCCGCACGCTCTTCCTGGGCTCCTTCTCCAGCCACCTCACCATCACCCACTACGGCCGCCCCATCAACTCCATCCAGGAGTGGTGCGTCGTCTCTAATTTGTTCACTATCTGTGCACTGTCTTCTACGAGTTCAGTGGTGAAATTATTATTCTCCATGTTCTCACGACAGGAAGTCGATTCCTTCACAAAGGATAGTAACTCAAAGCAAATATTTTCTTAGCAATGCATGCCAAAAACGCTCATTTCCATCTGTATTCAGAATTCGACTTTATGTGTTAGGGTGGGGGCTACAGAATTTAAGATAACGTGCGCATAATTCACTTCTCCTCGTAAGACGTCCCGCACAGTTTTTAACTGTTTTTGACGTTGAATAAATAAATGTTTCATCGTACGCTATCTCATGAATCATTGCTGCACAAGAAACGTGACACTTTTGAAAAATTGTCATTATGGAAGGGGAACGTTTTCCTCTGTACGGAGCGTTTATTTTGTTGCAAAAGGAAAGTTATTTTGTGTACCTACCGAAAATAGCCAACTATTTTTGACATTTTTTTTAGTAAAATAGATTAGTTTCTAATCATTTTGTCTTCTCATACCTCTAATATGACAATTTGTTAGTCGAGTCCTTTTTATCATAAATCAAAATCTGCAGTTAAGTGTTTTCCCTTGGAACAAACATTTAGATAAACCTAATTTTTGGCAAGAACTTCAATGAACAATTGAAGTTTATTTTGTGGGTTATTTTTGATAATTGTGCAGTGAGTTGTGTCTAATTATTGATGATTGATGTTTTCACTTATCATGCTATTTTTCTTAATAATATGATTTTTTCTTCGGTATTTGCATATTGAATTTTACAAAAATAACATTAATAAAATAAAAGTGAGCTTC